GGAGCCGCATTCCTGTGGGTGCCGAGCGGCTCCAGGGCTGAGCCACAAGGCCTGACACACACAGCCCTGACACACACAGCCCTAACACACACACACGGAGCAGACTCCGGGCTACAGACACCCGGCGAAAACCTTCCGCTCTCTCCCCAAATCGACGCGCTCYGCCCGGGCAGCGCTCAGCGAGGTTCCCATCCGGGGAGCGCTGTCTCCTCGGGAAGCGCCTCGATTTCCCTCCCGCTCCTCCCCGGGGAAAAACACCCCCCTGCGACCTGTCACCACGTCAGGCCGGCCGCTCGCCGGCCCTGCCTGCCGCCCTCTCCCGCCAGCCCTTCCCGATCCCGCACCGGCAGCGCGGACGGCGGCAGCGGATCACAAACGTGCATCGCACATGTGCTGTCGATTAAAGATTTTCYACCACGCAGCTTCGCCCCTGACAGAGTTTAGGTGTCTCGGCTGCGGATGGCAGAGAGGAGATCTATGGTTGCAGGAAAGTCGGGGTTGTGGGGAGGAAGAAACCCCTCTTCTTGCTCCCAGTCATTTGAGCGGCTGCCTGCAGTAATGCAATAACCTTTTTATAGGTCAGAGAAGAGCCGTGAAAATAGGAACTGCGGAGTTTACACTGAGCCTCCCTCCTTCGCGCTCTCTTTAGGGAGATTCTGCGTTGCCTCAATTCAATGTTTCTGCTCTTTGTTCCGCGGCGCGGCTGTTTTACACGCGATTTAGGAGGATACGCGGCGGCTCCTCTGCCAGGAACGCGGAGCCCGTGACCCGCGGCCCACGCGCACGCCCCGCGTGTCCTGCGCGGCCGCGGGAACCCCCCAGGGCCCCTCGCCTCCCTATCCCCTCAGCTGACAACCCGGGGCGGCCCTACCCGCCGAGCCGGCCCTCGCTTCCAGGGGATCTTTACAGCCCCCTCTCTAGGCACCATATAACACATTTTATAGGCGTTCGGTATCCACTGATCCGGCCTTTCCTTCTCTTGGCGCTATTTTTATGGATGCCCACGGAGAGCGAGGCGCAGCGCAGGGGCTGCTGCGCGGGGAGGTGCGGAGCTGCGCGGACCCTCTGTGCGCCCCTCCTCGCATCCCGCCCCCCCCGGTGCCCACTTTGATGATTTGGCCCATTAGAAATAAGGCAGGTTTGGGCCCGGCTCATAAACGCTAATCAGGAGCGCGCAGCGAGTGAGCCCGATGAGCTGAGCTCGCGAGCTGCAGGCAGCCCTGTTAGACTCGCTCTGTGCTTTAATTAATTACAATTAAGACGGTTCTGCGGTAATTTCCTTAAGGGCTTCCGACCACGGCCTGTCCGCGGGCTGCGGAGGAGGCCCGGACGCCGCGGCCCGGTGCGGGSTCCGGACCCGCTCCCGCCGCCGGGACCGGAGCTGTCACCGGAGCAGGGGGCTYGGCCACACTGAGGTGGCCCCGAGGCCGGGAGGGCAGCGCAGGGAATGGGCAGGAACCCGGCTCCGGAGCCGGGAAGAGGCGAGGCGGGAGGCGCAGGGAGCCGGGAGCATCAGCCCCGCACGCGCATCGCACCCGCAGCCGCGCAGGTTCGGACACGTAGCGCTGCACACCCCTGATTTGCTATTTTCTTAATTCCCGCTCTTCTCGTTCCCTATGAATCAAACAGTCTTTTGTCCTTCAGAGTTTGATTTGATCGCTACTGTTCGCATTTCACTTTTGTGTTTTTCTCTCCCTATACCATTACTCATTGAGTGCCCAGTGAAATTACAATCGTACATTTTCAACTCAGCAACCCATTTGCAGTGCAAAAATAGGGTCTAAATAATGGCTGAATTAGCCCTACTGGACAGTTTCAGATGTAACACTCTGTAATAATTATATTGCAGGCTGGATTAGGATGCTATTATCATAATCTGGACGTTTACAATTATCTGTAATTTGCAAAGATGCGCCAGGTCTTGATTACAGCATTTTTTTTTTTTTTTATCAAGCTAACCATCACTAAACAGTGACAGTAATAACAGCTAATTTTGCTGGCAATATAAGAGGTGCTGGGGTGTGCAAACAATTTCACACCTGGATGTGCTCACTCAACCAAGAATATAGAGAAAGAGCTTCTGCCCTGAGACTCAGAAAAATGTTGCGCGCCGCTCTGCGCGGTGCGGGTTTGTAGCCCCCGAGCCTGGCCGCGCCTCGCTGGGTAAGTGCCCGGGTTTGGGTCGGGTCGCTCTGCTGCGGGGCTGCTCCAGGGCTGCTCCTCGCCTTCCTTGGAGGCAACGCGTCTCTTCCCGCTTTTTATTTATTTTTTCTTTATATTTTTTTCCGCTTCTCCCAGCCTGCCCGCCGCTCCGCGAGGGGAGGGAGCGGGGCTCGTTGCGCGGAGCTCCGCGGAGCAGCCAGCGCCGCCTCCGCGCTGCCGCCGGGGGAGGAAGGAGGGGTTTGCTGCGCCTCGGGCCCGCGCAGCGGCGCTGCGCGGCTTTCCNGGGGTTTGCTGCGCCTCGGGCCCGCGCAGCGGCGCTGCGCGGCTTTCCGCGCTCTTCCTGCAGGCGGGCGCGGAGCCGCGGCGCCCGCGGGGGCGCGCGGCGGGGCCGCGAGGCGCGCGCGGCGCAGGTTGCGCGGGGCCCCGCGCGGAGCTGCCCCGCTCCGTCTATAGATGACGCTGTTTCACGAGCGGCTCCTCCGCTCGCCCGCGCGGGACTCGCTCGGCGCCCACTCGTGTCGCCCCCTTGGGCTAACGCGAGCGCGCGGTGTCCGCGACTATTTAAGCTAGCGGGGAGGGACCCACGAGCGACCCCCCACCCCCTCCCMGCAGCTGCGCTCCCCGCGGGAGGGCGCCCTGGGCTGCCCCAGAGGGACACGCGGGTGCGGAGCCCGCAGCCCCAGCGATGCTCCCTGCGCGGCCGCGCTCACCGGCCCCGCCGGGCCGGAGCGGGGGATTCCGCGGGGCTCCGCACGCGCGCAAGGCGCCCTTGGTTTAGACGCATGGGAGCTGCTCGCCGGTGTCATCTGAATAATTCAGCGAGCGCCGCTAGCAGCTGCAGCGCTGCAGCCCCTTCCATTCTTTTCAGCATTATAATTTTGGTTAATTTTCAATTTTAGGCCCTACGTCTCTGCAATTTGTGTATGAATAACAGAATAATTTTCCTCTTTTGTTTCGCCTTTCCTGTTCCTGAATCTAAATAAAGATGGCTTTTTAGTATTAAAAGTGGAAGAAAATTACAGGTAATTATCTTTGACGGTAAAAACGCTGTAATCAGCGGGCTACATGAAAAATTACTCTAATTATGGCTGCATTTAAGAGAATGGAAAAAAACCTTCTTGTGGATAAAAACCTTAAATTGTCCCCAATGTCTGCTTCAAATTGGATGGCACTGCAGCTGGAGGCTTTGTTCAGAATTGATCCTGGGGAGCTCTGAACCCAAAGTTTCACAGTGGGAAGGGGAAAAAAAGAAAAGAAAACATTTTTCCTAATGTAACAATACGAATGGTAGAAAATGACAAGACTGATCGGTTTTAAACCACTCTGAAGACTGACTGAGCGTGGAAGTTGCTCAAAAAAACAAAACAAAAAACAAAAAACACCCCCCAAAAAACTGGTATATTGGTAAGTAGTCTTTGCTTTGTGTCTAATTATAGTGACTGTCCTTTTGCACGCCTGTATGTAGCTGTCATTATATGGAGCACTCTGAGGGTCTCTATTGACTTCTGATAAATGGCTCGGTGGTTTCCAGGTTCAGGCTTTGAAGGGTGCCCGGGTCTCTAGCCATTAATTCTCGCAGCATGGGGCACCCAGCGTGGCTGAGGAGAGGGCTTCTCGTGCGCGGGCTGTGCTGGGCTCGGCGCCGGCTCGCGAGGCTGGACAGCGCGCCGTGGCCGGCACCTCTGCGGGCTCCGCGGGACGTTCCTCGTGCGCGCTGCGAACAAAGGCGGCCGCCTGCCCCGCCAGCGCTTGTGCGCGCGGGGCAGAGCGCGGGGCTCCGCGCGCGGAGGAGCCGCCGCTGGGGCAGGGGCGGCCGCGCGCGCGGGAGCCTCGGCCGGGCTGCGGGCGGCCCCCGCGCGGGGCAGCGCGCGCGGAGGGAGCGCGGAGGCGCCGCCGCGGGCGCGCGGGGAGCCGCGGCGAGAGAGGCACGAGGCACGCGGGCGTTTTGTGGCTTTTACTCTATATATGAAAGAGGACAAAACCATACAAAGTATATATACAACTAAAATTCAACAATATATACAGAAAGGTGGCTCGGGAGAAAGGTCCCTGTGCTCAGGGAGTGAAATGCCGGCAATCCGGCTCCGCTCCGGGCGCGGGCGGCGGGGGCTCCGCGGGTTCCTCCTTCTTCTGCTTTTCCCGTTGGTTTCCGGGGGGTCTGCGAGTGTGAGTGTGAGTGTGCAAGTGAGTGTGAGTATCTGTGAGAGAGAGGGGGGCTCCTCGCGGGAGACGCAGCGGTTTCCTCGGAGCTGCAGCCCATTCCGTTTTGATAAAGCATGCAGGTTTTGCTTCGTGGAAATGTCCTAATCTCACAGAATATTCGCATTTTCAATCAGTTCTCTCTCTCTCTTTTTTTTTTCTTTTTTTTTTTTATCCCTTCTTCTCACTTATTTTTTTTCCCCAGTCTGGATTTGGTGAACAGAAACGAAGGAGTCTAGTCTCGCTTTCATCCTGTAACGTCCTTAGCTCATTAAACAAGTAAAAACGGCGGCCACTGTAGGCTCGGGTTCTTCTTGCGGGCAAAGTCTGTAAAAAGTTTGTTTTGACGTATACTCCACGGAGAAAGAGGCTGGTGCCTTGGAGTCCAAATGAAAATATCCTAAAGAGAAGTGTCTTCTGTGCGCCAGAATGAAAATTGGGTCTTTCTGTTCGAGATCAATCGCTGAGGTTTCTTAAAACAAAATAAAATCAAATCATATGAAGCCACTCTGTCTCCTTGCCGCATCTACAAGTTCACACGGAGCCTGTTGGCTGGCACGGCTCGGCAAAGCGGGGGGACTTTTTTGCCATGYCGAGACGAGGCAAATAATCTTGGGAGATTATTTCTCTTGGACACTTCACATCATTTGCGGTCTCTGCATTGTGTCTTGGTGTGGAGAGGAATACCAGTGAGAATAGCCAGGCATGTAGCTGTTGGGAGGCATGTTCACTCCCTTGGCAGAAGCCGAAACGTCCCAGACCGGAGGCAGGGCTGGCGAGCGAGGGGACAGCGCGGCGGAGCCGGGAAGGGGGTCGCTCTCGTGCGGGTTGCTGCCCTGCTTCAGCAGCTTCTTAAACTTGGAGCGTTTGTTCTGAAACCAGATCTTCACCTGCAAGCAAAAGGCAGCACACGGTTAGGCCGCTGCGAGCATTCCCGAGCATTCCCGAGCGAGTCCGGCGGCTCCGGCTGCGCTCGGGGGGCCCGCGTGTCAGCGTGGGCAGCGGGACCTTCCCGYGGGCTGCCCAGGAGATATAACTGGTTAGCGCTGGAGATATAACGGTTAGCGTTGACGTCCTGGGCAGGCCGGGCTGGCACGGAGCGCGTGTCCGACTTCGCCCACTCGTGCGCGTGTGCGTGCACCAGCGCGTGGCAGTGGGGAGGACATTTGGGCACTGGGTTACCTGTTGTCAAACACGGGCCACTGTGTGGTGTCCTGCCAGGAGACGGGAGCCAACGGACCAGGGGCATCGCACAAGGAACTCGCGCATCCCAAAACAGACATGATCA